TTTTTTGGAACTCATTAGAAGTACTGAGATACATATACTAAAATCAAAGCATTTTAAGTAATATGATTTAAGAAATGAGAGAGCAATAAGAATTGAGATAGCTAGTTGATTTTTGAGACGGACATTTCCTTAGTTCAGAACTTCTGTAAACAAGGTATGATCTTTGTAAACAGAATGATTTGAAATTTCCCAAGCTATAAACCAGACAGCACCATCACAGCTATGACTTCATGATTAAAACCTCCACCTTTGAACTGTAAGCAGCTTTCCATTCTCACTACAAAGAATTATGGGTGATTTCAAGAATGTAGGAGACTGAGACACACTATTATTTCCCTATCACAGTGATTCTCTGTATGTGCCATCTTCAATTGTTCAACTTAATAAAAATGAGCCATCCCAATTCAGAACACATATTTTGCTATTAATATATAAGAGTAATTTAAGTTACATGTATAGGAGGCAGAGCCTTTTGCCTTGAGGTAAGCAGTCTGCAAGAGTAATGCAGACATACAAAGCAAGGGTAATAAGATGACTCTTACCTCCTGTCATACGTCACACACATCTAACCTTTTGCAGTCCTCACACTGCCAAAAGAGGAAACTGGTTTTTGGGAACATGTCTACACAACCCAGCCAATATTAATTTTCTGATATCTAAGTGGCAATTATAACCTCTGTGCCCATGACTAGCTATCAACATCAATACAGTGGGGCAAACTTCAAGGAAAACATGCATTAACCAGATCTGTATATAACAGTTCTATTTTTAAATTGGTTTATTCTAGTTTGTATTTTATCTCATTTTACAAGTCTATAGAGCAGGAGCTATGTCTTACCTTTCTGGGATGCTTAGCACAGGACACTGAACTTGTATGGGGTCTTTGGCTGCAGTTATCATACCAGCATTTATCACTGAGTGTTTCTCTGCGTCAGTGCACACTGATGAGTGAGCAAAACAGTACAGCCCAGAGTAAGATGTCTCTTTCCTTTTCAGAGTGGCAAGAGAGGGATGCAGCTCTCGGCAGCAGTCTTTTTCACCAGACACTATTTGGAGCTTTGCTGGCTCTAGTACCTTAACGTCTCCCACTTTCCCTAGTAACGTCTCCCACTGTCCCTACTTTTTAAGTGAGTAGATTTGCTGCTATTCAGAGAGACCAATTACCATTTCAAGAGCAACTTTTTGGCACCAGAACTGTTTATATGGAAAACAGATTAAAGCTAAAATCCAGCTACTATTATAATTTCAAAACCCAGTGGGACTCTAGACATGTGTTTTGCTTGCTTAATTACTGCTATAATAAAAAATATGGGGTATTTAGCCAGAACATCCATGTGTATTTTAACATGGATTCATCGTATAATCAACAGGTTTTAAGCTAACATCAAATGTAACATAAAATATATTGCATTGCTTTTAGAACCGAGGCTCTCATCTTTCAAGAAATACTATCAATCCACATAAAAATAAATGCCAAAGTTTCAGTTATTAATTTCTGCAATATTATTTTTTAATATGACATCCAGTAGGGTATATTACTTTCGCAATGGAATTCTTATGCAGAAGGCTATGCCCCAGTATCATAAAGATATTCACCTGTGAAGCATTCATGTGTAAAAATCTATCATTTTGAACATAAGTGTACAAGTAGTTAAAGTATCTGTTGAGAACATACCTTGTGTAAAAGCTGTAAGTTCAGACCTTAATCCATTGCCATTGACTGTTCAGTAAACATATTCTATACAGCATTATTGAGCTTTTTACAAACAGAACAGATAGAACACAGTCAAATAATTCCTGATCTGACTGAACAGAATAATAATCAACAGAAATGAACATATCTGTGATAAGTGCACTGGCTGATATGCCCTTTAAAATAGGTACAAGTTGCTTTAATGAGAGAGTAGTGTGCTCAGATCAACCTTTCTTTTTTTTTTCCCCCCTTATCATTGACTAGGTTTTAAAGGTCCTGCCAAAACACTGAAGTATTCATTTTTTAATCATCATGAAGACAGGAGCTAGGATTTTCTGGTAACTAGGTAGTACAATCATTAAAACAAAGGATTCAATACACATTCGAAACTTCATTTTTACAATTCCCTGGTATAGGTATTTACTGTATAAAAGGTTAAAAGAATACCTTACAAGTAAAAATAATCTACATCCGAAATTACAATTTTACCAGCAAGCATGGAAAATAATTATTTATAAATCACTGTGTCTACAAATTTTGCAGTGTTTTGATTACCATCAACCTCATTAAATAGGAGGAAACAGAGGCAAACATCTACGAAGTGACTTGCCTGAATTCTTGGTGAGTCAGTGGCTAAAATAAGAACACAGTCCTGCTCTCCTGCTTTCCACTCCCTGTGTCCTAATCACTGATTCAGCATGAATTCAGGCTCCACGCCACAGATCTTCACTGGGTATAAACTGTAGTAATTATCAGCAGCTGAAGAGTACAAGAGAGACAGAGATCCCTATAGATGGGTAACTAAAGTTTATGAAGCGCTGTCATTTTGGTATGGCAACATTCACACTACCAAGCAGGATGTTGCATACCTGATATAACAAGCTGACCAGTAAGTTCACAGAGAGTGTTACTCTCTGATCCTGTCTCACAGAAGCCGTAGTCTGGAACGCTAACGCCCTTGTTCTTTCCTGTAGAATATCAACTGTGGGTGAACTACATATTCTGTGACCCGGTCCCCTCTCTCCTCTGGCAGCAGGAGCAGATCATACAGTTAGAATCAGTTCAGAGTCACTGTTTCTATAATATCTGTAATTTTTGTATCAGAACTACAGCACTATTTGAAAAGGTATACTGATAACGGATAACTGGCAGAGATTATCCTTTTAGCTTGAATACTAAAATATTGCATTTTAAACAATTACCCATTATTTTTCTTTCTTACTCTACCACAGTGTTCTACAGACAACAGTTTAGTTACAGCTATATTACTATCATATAAATATGAATTGATAAGAGCCATAACACAAGGATTTATTTGTAATAAACAGAAAAATTCTTAATATTTTGTAAACAAATTCTGGATTACAGGAACAACCTACCGTTATTAATTCTTTGTGCTTCTCTAAGTTCAATTAAATCACACTGCAGCAAAACATTTCAAGTGTGAAAATTCTGACAGTGAATTCTGCAAGAGATTTTATTCTGATATAAACAAAACCATCACTATTGGAAAAATCAATCTCGGTGGAAACCTATAGAGAAAAAAAACTAACGACTAATTTTCAGAACCAATGGAAAATTACAACTGGTAAAATTATTTATCTCCCTTCATTCCTAAGGGAGGACATTTTGTCACCTTCCAAGGAACATGTTCTTGTTTCACTGGCTGGATGAAGCAAGCAGTGCAGACTTAGTGGATGGAGAACCTCATGCTGTGAGTTTTAATGTTTTGCCACAGATTCAGTGTAGCAAAGTAGCTCTAGAAACACAGCAGTGTCACATAGAGAGAAAAAAATAAATGCCAAGCTGCAGTGTCTCTTCAGGACTAGTTCATGTTTCTATATGTAGATTCCATTTTTAGATAAAACAAGTCACTAAACTTACCTGCAGTGAAACCCGTTACAACTGTTTGGATTACTGCCTCCTAAATGTGATCTGCAGATTGTGGTCTGTCACATAGCAGATAATGATACATGAACAGCTGCTTAAAACCCCTAAAAGCATAAATATAAGCAACCAAGGAAAGAACAAAATGGAGAAAAATGAAAACAAGCATTCAAAGTTAAGCTTAATTTTTATTTGGCAGTAAATAAAAATGACTGTGACAATATTCTACAAGATGATCACTGGAGTGTAATTTTTTGTTAGGGGGCCATTGGATTACAACAAAAGTTTAAAAGAATTACTGTATACTTTTAACATACAGACCATCCAGAGCCATTACTTTTTTACAATTTTTGTCTGCATTGCAGGCAAGGCTGCATAGTTATAGAATCAGATCAGAGAATTCCCCATGATGTTGTATATTGATTCAGAAATGAAATTTCAGGTTAAGTATAGGGATCCATTTGCACAGATGTAACTATAACCTTGGGATCACTGCAGCATCTTTGTGTTTGCTCCTTTCTGCAGTATAAACCATACTATCATCTTAAATTAGTATATCGAAAGTTCATATGACAAGCAGAATTTCACCTTAACTAAAAGGTTAAAAGATTTTGCAAGTCTGCAACAACTAAAGTGTATTTTTTTTTTCCCTTTTCCTGTTTCTCTGAGGTGCTTTTCAAACAAGTTAATATAAATTTATGGCAAATGATCAGTATGCTGTATCTGAGAAGTATTTTCTTTGCGTATCAAAAAACTACCAAATTTCCTTTCTGCAACACTGCAGAGACAAAAAAAACCCTAACTATTATTCTTAGTAATATTTCATGTTGTTATAAAGACTTTGGTATACTTCATTCCAGCCAATAAGTTACATACTACAACATGAACAATATGGGAAAAGTAATGAGGATTTTGAAGTCGGTATTTTATTTTGGCACACTTTCTAAGTATTAAATAAGCTTACCATTGTTCTGTGCTACTACTTCATGTTTAAAGATCAAATGATATTTTTGGAAAGCACTTACGGTGCAACTTGGTTAGTGTAGCAAACGCTAATATATATTTGAAAAGTGCTTTGTATCAGATATTTCAAGGTATATTAAAGTAATTTTTGAAATGCAAATTTTCACTATTCATTGAGGTAAATGGGAAAAGAGATGCACCAAAAATGACTGAGAGGGATCCTGGGCTAAGGAACAATCCTGAATTCCCTATTCAGGCAAAAATATAAGTCACAAACAGGAATTTTGCCACAGAAATTAATTCATTAAATAATTGTCACCTTTCAGATTTCCTTCAAATTGTGTCATGGAAAAAAGGCAGCTGTGAATGAAAAAGTAGGCAGAAGAACCCTAGCTGTCTGTAATTTGCAGTCCTTGCTAATCTCTCCTATCCTTTAAGAGTTCCACAGCTTTTTCCAGTCTCATGCCTTTTCACAGGCAAACATAACCACTGAACAACAATCATGTAGGTCCACAAGTTATATATATACACAATTACAGTACCGTGATACCCAAATTTCAGTAAAGTCAGCATAATTTACAGTTAAACTAGGCAGGAACTGCAGAGGAAATCAATTCCCCTATCAATCTATTATACAAAACAGTTTGCCGAAAATATGAAGAAATCTTCTCTTGAGAGAAAATCAGCAAAGTAGAAAAAATAAAATGCACCTTCCTTGAATTTTATTTGGACTCTGCCTCTTCATCCATGAATTCAACTATTGGAGCGTGTCTGTTGGCCTGGGCACCTTCTTGGAAATTAACCTTTTTTATCACTCCTGCCTTTGGAGCCCTTATGGTATGCTGCATAGAAAGAGATCGATAGTGAAAGAGCAGAGTACTTTTGGTTTTTTGGTTTAGTTTTTTTTGCTGTTTTGGGGGGCGGGGGGGGGTGTGGTTTTTTTTCCTTCCTCTCTCTCCCCAGCAAATGCTAATATTACTCTTTGGTGCAATTAGAACAGAACACACTTAATTACTTCCTCTGACACATGTATAGTTATTTTAAACCTTCTTTTAAAATGTTATCCTAGTCCTTTTTCAAGTTTTATTTTCTCATCAATATTTATTTTGATAAGTATACTGGTGTCAAAAATGCTATATAATGTTATATTTTGAAGTATGAACAGCTGAATGTTATTTTACTTCACTAATATTTTTTGTTATTTATAATAAATACCAGGCAGAAATAATAGAGTTTTAGTCCAAAATGTTAATCATATAGCAGTTTAGTTCCCTTAAGAGGAATCTGCAGATTTACTAAAGATATTTTTGTTTGCTGGCCAGGAGGGATCTTTATTGACAGATATTTAGCAAAATCCAGATTAAATATGAATACAGCTACTGGTGACAGTAAAGGAATACCATGCTTACATACCAATCCCCAAATTGGTCTACTTGTTACTGTAGCGGGTTAGTTTTCCATTGAAGTTTTGTTTCTTGGTACTTTTCTACATAGGGTTAGTCTAATATCAAAACACTTAATATCAGATATTAAATCCTCACATGTAAGCAAGGAGTCATTTAAATAATAATTTGCTTTTTAAATTTTACATTTTATATTTCAATAGCTCTGCAAAAAAACAGAGAACTCAGATAGTATCAGTCTGAGATCAGCTGGAGAGGCACAAACATTTAGCATCCAATTGCAAATAATTTTGCGTGCAATTTTTTTTTTACTGCACAATTGTATTTCATGTAATTTTAGTGTAATTTATAAGGGCATGAAAAGGGAAAGGCAAATTTTCTCAATGTTAACTCTGCTAGTACAAACTGAAATTTAAAATAAACATAGAGCCAAACCAAACCAGTTCAGGCTACAAAAAATATAGTTCAAGGAATCTGAGCCATGGTCAAGCAATGTTACAAGATATAATGGCCAAAATGCTGGTCCACTGAATGCCACATGGACAATTACAAAGAATCTTTAGTGTACTCTTGGTAAAACTTCATGTAAATAATAATAAAAATATTATAAACAAAAAAACAATCCTGAGCATATTTACAAAGTCACCATTAGCTAAGTTTCTGCATAAGGTAACTGCAGACATTACATATGCTTATATCACAGACAGTGAGCAAGAGAGACATCTAGACAGTTTTCTGCTAAAAAAGTGAAAGGAAGGGAAGGAGAGAAGGATTGACAAAGCTAACCAAATTAATGTTAAAACATCTGCAGAATACCGTGGGTTATATAATCATCATTTGTTAATAAAATAACAGCAAATATAATCCTCTCAAATCTAGTCAGACACAACACTTGTTTTACAACATATGAAGTGATACTGACAGCTGCAAGTTACACTCTGCACCATACTTCAATAATGAAATAAAAAATGATTAAATTCTGGCCAGATTTTTATTTACTCAGTAATTAAAACCTTTTATATGTCACTTACCTCCATTTTCATAGCTATCATAACCATTAGAGGGTCTCCAATCTGAACCTTATCCCCTGCTTTCACAAATATCTACAATTCAAGAGAAAATTGGGAAAAAAATCATCCATGCCTGTACCATTAAAATTCATCAGCTGGATCTTGGCTAGCACAATCCACTGAGTGACTGTGGTTTTGCAAAACAGCCTCATAATATCTTTATTATTGTTCAATTGGGTACCCAAGTTCTCTAGAGAATACTAAAGGGAAGTCAGAGGCTATAGAAAGAGGCTCAGTAACAGCTAACAAGATGACCAGGAAGTCATTTAAGTATCAAAGAAGAAACAGTAGAAGAGACAATATGTATTCTACCCTTTCTGGGCTTAAGAGCTTCTATTTTGAGCGAGAAAGTGCAGAACCTCTTCCTGGAGCCAGTCCCTAAAGTTCTTAAAACAAAATCCAGAAAGAAGATTGCAGGAGCCACCTAGTTTTTCTACAATAACTGTGATTTAGAGTGTTCACTCAGTATGCAAGAGATCCACATTCAATGTACTCCACCCTATGAAAGGGTTCATGCCTTTTTATTGCTAGCAGTGTATCATATCCTTCAACTACTGAACTCCCCTGGACATCTGTTTCTGTTGAAACTTTGTAACCGTACAGTGAAATACACAAGACTTGCTGAGCTAAAGAAAAAGAAACAAAACCAGAAACAGAAGCAGCAAAACACACAGCTTAACAAAAAAGGCA